AGGCTTTTCAGTCCAGTGAAGGCGCCTATACAGCATTGCGAAACATTGGCAGGAATTTCTGCTCGCGTGGTTCGCAGCATTCTTCTTCTTCTCATATTCTTCTCTCGCTCAACACAGATGTAAGTGTATGATAAGGATCTGGATGCAACTGCACTTCCAGGGAAAACGAGATGGAGCAGCAGAGGATTCCTACAGCGATTACAGCCTTGACAAACAAGACGTTCCATGGAAATTTAGGAGCATGCTGGTGGACAGCAGATAAGCATTTCCCCCTCCCATCCATGATGGTCAGGGTGCATCAACAAATATCACTGCAAAAAAAAAGAAGGAATAACGAAAAAATAGCATTTTAGCCCTGTGCAAATAAGAAGGGCGAGGAGCACCCAGCAGCAGCAAGAAAATCGCCCAGTGCACAATTCATGCATTTTTATCTTTTACTGCCTGCTTTTTTTCTCTTTGCTGATTATGCGAAGCAAAATTTGCATGATGTCCATTTCAATTCGAATTGAAGAATCTGCACTACAGTGATGCCGCGTAAGAAACTTTTTTTTCTTTCACTAAACAGATGCAATTCTTTGTTCGGGAGTCGTCCTCAAAGAAAGGCAGGGAAATTCAACCGTATAAAAATATTTGAGAAATATTTTGTATTAGAGAACGAATTAAAGTCTTGAAACCATTCACAGCCATGATTCAGAGAATCTCAAGTTGCTTTAAAAAACGCAGTTTTCAGCCGCAATCTCCGTAAAAAAGTTTCCAGTATAAGGCAAAAATTATTATTTTTTAGGACGATAAAATAAATAATACACGCTTGCAAAATATATGCAAACATGCCCTCTTTTTCCAGGGAATGGCTAATTTCATTGCGTGTGATGAACAACTGCATGATGGATCTTGCACAGTATATACTCCTTAGATTTTCATAGAATAAAACTTGACAGAATTTTATATTGTAATTCAGGGTAAGAGGATTTTTGAGGTTGACATACCTCGAGATTCGCACGTACGGTATGTTCATGATAAATACCTGTACTGTAAACTCACGACATGAAATCGTAAAAAATCTGTTCACGGTCATATTGTCTGTAAATTTTTTGGTTGGTTGAGAATTAAGATAAATATCAGCCAGGTCAATCGAGGTACTGCATTATAATCAATCAATTTCGGTAAAGCTCGATCAGACGACGAAACGAACCAGAAGAATGACGATCACACGCACATGCATAAGATCAGTATTTCAAGAGAGAGACCTTCGTTGTTGCAGACGTTAACGAGATGTCACTTCCAGTATTACGAGACCCCTAACAAGGTCTTTCATAAATTAGTTTCTGCCGTTACTCTAGCCGTGAAGGTTATCGTTAAAAATTCCGGCCGGTGTTTATAAAATAAATATCCGGTACTGCGAAATGAGATACGCAGTAGTTTGACTAATTAATTTTAAATATTGAGCTTAATAATGGCCAAGTACAGGATGCAAGTGGCAGTGCCTTGGGATGGCATGACACCTGATTCCCGTGGGTCGCCGGATGCTGATATAAACTCACGGATTTTGTCCAAGGGTGCCGTGGTTCATGGAATGTGAGTTTTAGCTCGCGACACCTATGTTACCCTTTCGTGAACAAAGCGCTGCAAGTATTTTCAAAATGTACCTTGGTGTCGCTACCTGTACTATTCCGCTCACGATTACGAGTCTCCACATTTCCGGAAATTTTAATGCTTGCATTGACCCGATTCACTTTAGCCTATATCTAAATGTTAACGTATATTTGACAAAAATTGTATTGAATGTCATACGCACTATTCAATTCATTGCTAGCTCAAGTACAGCAGATTAAAGATGACAGTATTAATGTAAAGAATTTTTTTTTCCACCAGTCGTTCCCGACCATTGATTCGAAAGACAATTTTTGGGATTTGTTTCTTCTTTTTGACTACGTTTTGCTGACTACACACGTGGCAAATGAGTGCATGTTCGGGTTTATCAATCGGCTAAAAGTGCCTTTCGGGTACTTTTTTAGTGCCGGGGACTTGCCGTGGTCAAGCGTCGCTGTTGGTAACCCCATACCCACGAGTTTCGTCCCATATTTGGCATCCGTGTATGGAGATCGGTTCGTGATTTTTGTGTGGATTCATTTAACTGTATATGTAGCGTAATATAAAAAAAAATAGAAATACTGGGATAGCTACCACATGCAAAGCTACCCGAATAAAATATAATTGATAATGGGACCTCAATCAACGCCTAACTCATGCGAGTATATCAGTGAACACATGGATATTTCAGGCAGGAAAACCCTTTAATAACGGCAACACCAAAAAGTGATAACCACTTCTCATGGATGGCAAAAATGAAAAAAATAAGTCCTACAAAAATTCAGTAAATATTATTCTTCTTTCAACTCAGATGCTGAAAATAATAGAAAATGCAGGAATGCGAAGAATAAAATCACACAGAATGTCGTAAAAGCGTTAAAAAAATAAGCACTAAATTATGCCTATTTTGGATTAAAAATCAGAGTAAATATGAAACGGGATATTTATTTCAGTTTTTCATGATAGAAATAGCTGAAACTGCTCGAGGTGACAAAATTTCGAAAATAAAAATGTTACATTTTAATAAAAATACTGTAATGTATTGGAAAAGGGTCTTCATATTCAGATACTGTACTGTACAGATCTTGGGGCAAGTTGTTCAAACTTAAAGTGTCTTCAAGGCAAATCCTCCGCCTATATCTGTGGGTATTTTTCAGATGTCATTTTCAGAACGAATCTTCACGCCTAACCTTACCAACATCAGTCAACCTAATATGACATCTAACCTGATAAAATCTTAAAGCGTAAAGATAGTTCATTTTTACTCACACAGATGTCACCAGATCATGGGAACCCCGCCCCCACATAAATTTAAGATAGCAAGGAATTAACGAATCAGGGAATCGCGAATTGAAGCTAACATAAGATGTAAAAAAATATAGAATCTTCAAATTTTCATAAATTTTGAAAATGTGAGCTTCCATCAAACATTTCAGGATGAACTTCGTCGAAAGGATGATGAATTTCGGCTTCACCTGGGCCGTGCAAGCCACGAGACAAAGGACCTATTCCCAGGTGGAACCCATTGTTCGAGAAGCCTTCAAGTGGAGCCCCGAGGATCCTTCCATCCCAGAACTAGAGAAAAACGTCAGCCTCGTGGTGTTGAACCAAGACCAAAGATTATTCCAATACCCCGGTCCAACCATGCCCAACATGATAGAAATCGGGGGAGCTCACTGTCGACCCCCGAAAAGACTTCCCAAAAACTTGAAAACCTGGTTCGACAAGTCGGGGACGGGGAATGTGATCTTTTTCAGCATGGGAAGTGCTGTTTCCTCCAACAACTTTCCCAAACAAAAGTGGCAAGCCTTTGTGCAAGCTTTCCAGAGGGTCTCTAGAACACTCGAGGTGAGAATTTTGCTCAAATGGGACGGACAAGTCGAAGAACTGGCTGAGGATGCAAATTTCCTCGTCCTTCCCTGGATTCCCCAGCAAGACGTGCTCGGTATATATATTCAAGCCAAGAGAGAAATGATGATTATAATTAAATCACTAATATCCGTAATTTATATATCCAAACACAAAAACAAAAAGGGCACCAGAAAGTGAAATTATTCATCACTCACGGGGGTCTGCTCAGCAGTCAGGAGACAACCTTTCATGCGGTACCCATCTTGGGGATCCCAGTGGGTGCGGATCAGATGATGAACCTCAAGAGGATCTCTGATGCAGATGCTGGCAAGATGTTGCTTTGGGGCGACATAACAACCCAGAGACTAGTATCTGACATCACAGACGTCCTCACAGACCCCAAGTGAGTCATCCAATTTTGACATTTTCAAATTTGTATCCCCCACACTAATGTAGTCATGATGACCACTCCAATTCACGCGTCTTAATCATCATTTACATTTTTAAAAAATACGCGTACTAAA